CTGTAAATAGGCATGGGCTGGTACAAGTTTCTGACAGTATAAAAACCTTGGATAAAACTACCATGGTGTCACGATATTGTAATTGCTGCTCTAAAATAAGTTATTTTTAAATGTCAGGGTAAAAAAAAACAAGTAAATAAATAAACATTTTCCCCATTAAATAATTTATTTTAAGAAACATTAATAATGTTTTGGAACAGTTAAACATTTAAGAGAAATAATTAACTTCTGCTGTCTTCATTAGTTTAAAAAACACAGGTTTCTTAACTACACTATAAAATACATTAAAAAACTTTAAATATACTTGGGGAATGGTATAATAGAACATTTTAGTGGTATTAAAACCTTGACTTTTCCAAACCACGGTAAACCTTGAAACCGGTTATCGTCCCATGCCTAACCATAATATATATATATATATATATATATATATATATATATATATATATATATATATATATATATATATATATATATATATATATATATATATATATATATATATATATATATATATATATACATATAATATAGATCGGGTGTGCAGATTTTTATATATATATATTGATAGATATATAAAGTGTATAATAATAAAAATATTTATGTATGTTTGTAATATATATATATATATATATATATATATATATATATATATATATATATATATATAGTATATTATGGTGTGAAATAAATAAAATGAGTAAAAATAAATCTACTGTAGCTGTAGGTAAAATCTTTTATCTGAAAACAACCACACACCTCTGAGTTCAGCAGCCAATCAGAATCAAGCAATCAATATTGATTTCTTTCTTTTTATTTCTGTCTTTTTTCATTTGTTCTGATATTTTTTTCCTTTATTCTTCATGTTATTCTTTTGTTCATTCTTCCTTTTGTTCTTTAGTTTTCATTTGTTTTATTCTTTCATTCTTTCTTCTATCTTAATTTTTATCTGTTGTTCTTTGTTTTTTCTTTCTGTCGTTCTTTGTCCTTTAATTTGTTCTTTCATTTCTCACTTTTTAAATTTGTTCTTTTATTTTGTTCTTTCTTTTATTCTTTTTCTTAACTCTTAAATTTTTCTTTTTTCATTTGATTCTTTCTTTTTTTCTCTTACTCTTCTTACCCTACATTCTTTCTTTTTTATAATTCTTTTCTTTCTGTCATTCTTTCTATCTATCTTTCTTTCTCGTCTTTCTTTCCTACCTTCATTTCTTTCTTTCACTCTTCCTTCCTTTTTTTGCTCTTACTTTTTCTTTGATCCTTTCTTTTTTTTCTTTCTTTCTTTTTCTTTCTTTCTTTCTTTCTTTCACTCTTCCTTTCTTTGATTCTTTCTTTCTTTCTTTCTTTCTCTTTCTTCTTTCGCTCTTTTTCTTTCTTTTTCTTCTTTCTTTCTTTCTTTCTTTCTTTCTTTCTTTCTTCTTTCGCTCTTTTTCTTTCTTTTTCTTCTTTCTTTCTTTCTTCTTTCGCTCTTTTTCTTTCTTTTTCTTCTTTCTTTTTTTCTTTCTGTCTCTATCTTTCTTCCTTCCGCTCTTCCTTTCTTTTTTCAGTCTTTTTCTTTTTCACTCTTCCTTTCTTTTTTCTTTTTGCTCTTCCTTTGTTTCCTTCTTTCTTTTTCTTTCTTTCTCTCTTTTTTCGCTTTCTTTCTTTCTTTTTTTGTTTCTTTGTTTCTTTCTCTCTTCTTTCTTCCTTCCTCCCTTTCTATCTTTCTTTCGCTCTCTTTCTTTCTTTCTCTGAATTTCTTTCACTCTTCCTTACTTTTTTCTTTTTGCTCTTCCTTTCTTCGATCCTTTCTTTCGTTCTCTTTTCTTTCGTTCTCTTTTCTTTCTTTTTTTCTTTCTTTCTTTCTTTCTTTCTTTCTTTCTTTCTTTCTTTCTTTCTTTCTTTCACTCTTCCTTACTTCTTTCTTTTTGCTCTTCCTTTCTTTGATTCTTTCTTTCTTTCTTTCTTTCTTTCCTTTCACTCTTCCTTCCTGTCTTCCTTCCTTCCTTCCTTCCTTCCTTCCTTCCTTCACTCTTCCTTACTTTTTTGCTCTTTCTTTCTTTCTTTCTTTCTTTCTTTCTTTCTTTCTTTCTTCCTCTTTCTTTCTCTTTCACTCTTCCTCTATTTTTTCTTTTTGCTCTTCCTCTCTTTGATTCTTTCTTTCTCTCTTTTTTATTTCTTTCTTTCTTCCTTCCTTCTTTCTTTCTCTTTCTTTCACTCTTCCTTACTTTTTTTGCTCTCTTTCCTTCCTTCCTTTTTTCTTTCTTTCGCTCTCTTTCTTTCTTTCTTTTTTCTTTTTTCGCTCTTTTTCTTCTTTTTTTCTTTCTTTCGCTCTCTTTCTTTTTCTTCTTTCTCCATCTTTCTTCCTTCCGCTCTTCCTTTCTTTCTTTTTTCAGTCTTTTTCTTTTTCACTCTTCCTTTTTTCTTTTTGCTCTTCCTTTGTTTCCTTCTTTCTTTTTCTTTCTTTCTCTCTTTTTTCGCTTTCTTTTTTTGTTTCTTTGTTTCTTTCGCTCTTTTTCTTCTT